ACACACACAATAAATAAATAAATAAATATTTTTAAAAAAAATAAATAAATAAATAAATTTCTCATCTTCATTCAACAAAAATTTAGTGAACATCTACAGCATGTCAGGCACTGTGTAGCGGACAACACAGTGTTCCTGCTTTCATGAAGCTTATTTTCTAATGGTGGATACAGAAAAATAAAAAAGGATGAGGAAGATAATGTCAAGTGGTAATAACACCATTGAAAGAAAAAGGGGCCATGGAGAATAACTGCCGCCTGCAGCCTTGGTGAGAGTGTGCTGTACTGTGTGACTAGGGAACACCTCCCGGTTACATTTGAAAACCACAAAAAAACAAAAGGGAAAGCAGACTAAGGGAAGTGGGGCAGGGAGACAAGGAAAGAAGGCACAGAGGGAGGTAAGGAGGGAGAGAAGGAGGGAATGACAGAGGGAGAGCAGGTGGTGGCTATTTGCAGGCAGTCTAAAGGCAAAACCACTAGGAAATGCTGAATGAAGAAGCAAGGAGAGCTGGAGCACCCACATAGGTAGTGCAAGTCAAGCAAGAAACATTTCCCTGAACAAAGTTTAAGAAGCACCATACTTTTCAATTCTATGTTTGCCAAAGTCAAACTCTACCCAAAGAAATAGGTCAAAGCAGAGTATGTTTCTGAGGTGAAGTAGACGGTAGGGTGACTCGGGCAACAGAACTAAGAGAGAGACAGGCTAAGTACTCATAAAAATGTTGGCCTACCTCACATGGGTCATTTGTGCCCAAATCTGAAAAGCAAAAGACTATCAAGGTGGTTGGCATTTCAGTGCTAACAGTCCCACAGCCATATCAAACTCCTCCGACCTAGATGAACCAGAATCCCATGTCTGCTACCCTATGCAGCCCAGAATCCCCCCCAGCAGAGCCCGGGGCCCCTTCCATGTGCTTCCTACATTGCCTCTCCTATTTCCTGTATCTTATATCTGACTTAGTTTTGCTCTTTCTGTGAGATACATCTTCTAATGCCCTCTTGAAAAAGTACATATGAACTAAGGTTTGTGAGACATCAACTAAATGAAACTATATTTATGCTACCTTCATATATTATTAATAATAATAAAACAGTATAAAATCAAAGGTTAGAAAGAATTTACATTCAGAATTCGAAATGCTTTTAAATTCAAAGGTTGGTTAGTTTTTAAATTTTGCTTAAATTTACTCCGAGAGTCTAAAAGCTAATTGGCAACTCTGGGAATAGTGGTATGCACCTCTCATCCCAGAACCTGAGGCAGGAATCTGCATAATTTGGCAAGACCTGTCCTAAAATTAAAAATTAAAAAAGACATGAGATACAGCTTCATTTGAATGGTGGGGGCAGATTAATGGCAACTGAACAATTACCATTGTGTTGCCTTTTTACACTGTTTTCCTTAAAGCATATATGACTTTATAACTGATAATTCTCAATTAATCACCAGATACTGTTCTAAATTACCCAGCTAAAAGACTAGTCATTAATCCTCACAAGCATTTGATAGTTAATCTATAGCTGTTCGTAAGGTTTTAAAAGCACTTCTATAAGCTACTAAAGATATCTATAAACTAGGACCCACATTCATTTTGCCATTACTTTTGACTTAATTGTCATTCAAGTTTATTAACTAGGAAATAAAGGATGAGTATGGTACATATGAAATTACAGATATTTAACCTCTAAAAGTGTGGACTTTTTAAAATGGTAGTTGATGACTGCTATTTTTTTAAGCAAATGCATCTTTTTCACTGTATGCTGTGTTTGTATAAAAACATCACTATAACAAGGCTTTTTGGAATGCATATAGTATTAAGATATAAAATGTATACAATCCCAAGAAAACCATAGAGAATTATGAACATAACATCATAAATTAATAATTCCATAAGGAAATCAAGTGACACAATAAACACTACACATTCATGCATGTGAAAAACATAAAAACATGTACGTATATACATGTACTCTTCAAAGAATGTATATACACTTCAGGAAAAAGAAATATAACATAATGTTCATATGGGGGACACCAAGGATGTTGTGTATCACAGAAAACTCACTTCATTGCTGGCCCTTAGAGAAGAAATTAAAAATACATGTGCAGCAGTCTCAATGACCAAGGTTACCCTAATTTGTATTAATCTCATGATATCTCAATAAATTTAGTAATAAAGTCTTTTTACAAGTTTTTCTTTTCCCATTCACATAGTTTAAATATAAAGGAGTATAAGCATTAATGATTCCTTCCAACCATTAGTCCTTACCTGCAAAAATTCTGCCAACAATCAGGCAAGTAAATAATAAGACATGAAATTGTTGTATATCCTTCCCAGGTCCTTTTTGCATACATACACAAATGCAAATTCTTTTCTTACTTAACATACACACAATATTTCTCACTTTTTTCTTTTTTTTTTTTTTAATGTATTTGGTACAAGGATTTCATTACATAGATCGGACACTGCAGCTCAGACTCATAATGATCCTCCTGTTTTCAGCCTCCCCAGTGCTCAGATTACAGACATGCACCACCATGCTCAGTCTCAGTCACCGGCTGAGGGGGTGGAGGGTGCTTAGCCCGTCACTTAATTTTTATTAAACTATTTTTACTTACACTTTGTAAGATGTTAGATCATCATCTTCTGTGCATTTTTCTATTGTACTATCTTTTCCTACAGGTTTCTAATTATGAATATAATCTTTACTTTGGTTCTAAATATTTGGTTCTAAATTTACCATTTGTCTTTTGACTCTGCTTATGAAATCATATGATTTTTGTTTTGTTTTGTTTTGTTTTGTTTTGTTTTGTTACAGCCTGGAACAGCCTGTGGAATTGTGTGGGTTTTAGGTGGTTGGTATTTGGAAGGTTATGTTGTTGATGGTGGCTTGTTTTTTTGCTTTTAGTTTTGTTTGTACACTAAAAATTGAACCCAAGGCCCCCAATAAATTAGGCAAGTGCTCTACCACTGCATTATATCCCTACCCCATCACTGCTCTCTGACATAAGGTCTTCCTAAACCAATCAGCCTCCAAAGAGGCTTGGATTGCAGGCATGTACCATAGAACCTGGAAGAAAGGTGTTCGGTTTTTGATTTTTAAAAAAAGCCTGTTTGTATGTTGTTGACAGGGTTCAGAATGCACTGCCCTAAAATATAGTACCTTAACAGAATAAATATTTTAAGCTGAACAACTGGAGAACTTACAGGAGCAGGACACTCAACTTTTTCACCTTTTATTCTTAAAACAAGTGTTAAAATAATCTCATGAGTGGTGCCCTACCTATACCAGGAGAAAAGGAGCTTATTTTTAAAAATGTGACATTCAGAAGAATCTGAATAAATAAATTTTGCAAACTCCACCAGTTTGCTCATCTTAGCTCCTACTGTTTCATTCAATCACATTTTCCTCTAAATTTCCATCTTCATCTAACCTAAGATAAAAGAGCACTTTTAATGATTTGTTTGAGTCTCATTTATTTACCTATTAAAAGCGAGAACTTGTATCAAGTAAAGCGAGAACTTGTATCAAGTAAACCGAGTTGGGCTTGTTTGTTAAGCTATCCTTTATCAATCTAAAATCCAGTAGCCCTAGCAACAGACATAAGACACAGAGGGAAAATGGGCTTCACATTCCCTATAACATCAAAGTTAATAGTTTTACTCTGAAGTTCACCTTCTAGTAAACAAAATTTTTTAAAACTTAATTTTATATGTTTTTACTCAATCTTTTGTAGCACTGGGGACTG